AAAAAAAAAAAAAAAAAAAAATCAAAAATTGCACTTTTCTTTAAAACAAAAGTGATTTTAAAAAGCTGGACATGGTGGTACACACCTATAACCCCCACACTTGGAAGGCTGAGGCAGGAGGATCACTGCGAGTTAGAGGTCAGCTTGAACGGTACAGCGAGACCCTGTCTCAAAAAATCGAAACCAACCAAACAACAAAAGAAGCCAAAGGCCAGGTGAAGAGCAACATGAGAGGAAACTAGAAGGAAATGGGTGGTAAACAACAGTACATAAAAATTTGCTTGGCAAACTTTTTCACTTATTTACTGACTTTTAAACCTACTATAAAAGTGGGCTATTTCATGACTGCGGTTATAGTCTCGTGGCAGAGCGCTTGCCCAGCACGGCAGGGCAGCCTCAGCACCGCCATGCCCAACACCGGCCAGTCACTTCAGATGGACGCACTATGCTATTACCTGCATAAAAATCTGAATGCCCTGCTCAGCATAGTACTTGGCCCTGTCGAGGTCATCCTGCAGGATGTACAGAAGACTCAGCTCCTGGCTGTACTGCAGCTCTGTGAGCGCCTGCTGCAGCTCCCTGCGCATCGCCTCGTCCACGAAGGTCAGCAGGGACTGGTCACCCTCGCCTCGGAGCAGCAGCTTCAACTTGCTGCGGACCATGTACGGCAGGTACATCTCCTGGGGACAGAAAGTCTCCTTGTGGTTTCAGAATGTCCACCCCAATGCCTCCTTTGTAACGTTACTTGTGATTTTACACATCATTTCACAACCACAAGACACAAAGAAAAATGTGCTGGGGACATGGGGTCTGTTTCGAGCAGGTGCCCCTGACGCTGCGCACACGGTTCGGGGCTCCACAGCGCCGCGAGGGCAGCAGTGGTGCGGGGCGGGCGGAGGGCAGCGAGGGCACCGGGAGGGCAGCGGCCTCCTGCACAGGCCAGCGAGGCAGCGCGAAACCTCCCGGCACAGGTGACGGCAGCAAACATTCTGTGTGGCCACACCAGGGACGCTCATACTTGCTTAAACCAGACCCCGTTCGTTACTCGTCAGCTACGAGTAATGCACGACTCAGTAGCTCTGGAGCTTGCCGGGGAGCCGGGTCACATAAACACCCGAATGCTGCATTACTACTAGCTTGTTCCAGGGGAAACTTAAATAATTTTATTAAGTAGATAACACCTGAATCTAAAGCATTTCAGTGACCTAAGTAATTCTACGCACCTGATAAAGCGGTTGACTCCACATTTTACTTAAATCTGGAGGGCTCTCGCTGTCCACGCTGGCTGTAGAGCAGTACTCCAGGGACTTCCACTCACAGAGGTGGTTGTAGCAGTCGAGAGATGCCAGCTCCCAGAAGTCCCTCTCGGCCTGCGTGGGCTCACCCCCTGCCCACTCTTGCTCACTGAGAGCCTGCCAAGAAGTGAGCAGGAAGGAAGGGGAAAGAAGACAAAAGGCAGCACAGTGTAACGACCCTAACGAGGACGATCATTTTCAGATTTATGGCATGGCAGGAGAAGAGGCAAATATTCAGAGAAACAGTAAATTAAAAAAAATATATAAGCAATTTTATATTAACAAGTAAAAATGCAAAGCCTAACCAGGAGAAAACCATTTCTTGGAGAAATTCGCCAGTGAAGCCAATTAGTAAGACTGAAGACTTAATGTCCCATAATTTGATTTAAGACTGTGTTGTTTACTATTTGACAAGTTTTTAGACTAAAAATTAAAATACAGGCTATCTGCATTTTAACCGGAGAAGATTTAGGATTCCTCATGAGAGCCTCTAGCCCTGGATCCTGAGCTTCAACCTGAGGCTTGGACAGCCACCCGCAGTCAAATCCAGCACGTGGAAAACTGCACTCCCAGTCGGCATCCCACCTGCTTCTTACCTCTTCATAAACTTTTTAACTTAGAGAAGGGAAACAGTCTTCAGATAGAAATTATACAATCTCTGCCGCAGACAGTAACAACATGGTGCAGTTTAGGACTAATTAGTAATGTATGAAGTACCTTGAGTCAATATTTTCTTTAAAAGATGATTATTTTGTATGTGGTTATAAGAAATCATATGCAGCTATTATTAATCTTGTGTAAAACCTAAGAAACACTCCGTTCATGCAGAGAACGACGTGTTTCCGTGACATATTGGGCCTGACTTTACCTCATTGTATTGCTCAGCAGCTTCGGAATAGTCGCTTCTGGCTTCTGCGAGCAGGGCCTTCTGAGTGACTTGCTTTGTTCCTATCTCACTGCTAAAAATACCCCGGAGGACATCGTACTCGCCAATGGATCGATACAATCTATAAATCAACCAAAATAGATCTTATCAGTGAATACTAAGTATTTTAAAAGTACTTACCCTAACAAAATAGTAACAAATAAAGATGCCACGCATTAGATTAACTAAAGACATAAAAAGTGTTATTTTGCTAAAATATAAAATTTTAAAATTATCTTTAAGCTTTAATACTTTACTTGTATAGAAGAAATTTAATGTGCATTTAAAATGAAATATGAAAGCATTAAAAGATCATACTGTACGAACAATCTCACTGAATCAGCGTCTGAAGACGACACACCAGTTCCTGCCTAGCACTGAAACACTCCGAAGCAGAAATGCAACTCTCATCCCAAGATACCTCTTTTTAATCCAAGTTCTTTATCAAATCCAAAGACAACTAACTTTCTTAGAGCCATAATATTTACCCAAACATTCATTTACTTCTTCGCCTGAACAAAAAATCTGGCTTAACTTTGTCAAATAAATATTCTCCTCTATAGAATTATCAAGTTAGTTTATTAAGTTTATTTTCTTCTGTTCAGAAAATTCTTTTCTGTCTTCAAGTCTTAACCCAAATGTCATTTCGTCCTAAAATGGCAGTTTCCGGACAAGGCAGCCAAGGACTAATTCCTCCCTCCTCTCCTGCCTTTTGGTTCCCTTCCTGGATACTAAATCTCCTATACTTCCATTAAAAGGACTCTGCAGAATTTGTGAGCCCATGGATTCCAAATTTAGATAAAAATATAATAGCACTGTTACTGGCCTGATCCTAGTCCAAAGCAACAAACCAGAAGCAGGACAGGGAGGGAAGAGGTAGAACAGCAACCCACGGGCAGGTGCTGGGAAAAGAACAGACACTTTCTATTAACACAGAAAAGGGGTCCCCGGGGACATTCTGCCCTGGTCCCTGCGCACTAGAGTACGTTCATTAGAGCACAGTCACAATGACGACCACACCACAGCAAGAAAAGCCTGGGTCAGGTTCATTATACTGTCCACAGGGAGGGCAAAAATACTACACATAAATATGTGCACATGTATTTAATAAAGTTGGAAGCAAATGTAAAGTTTAAGCCCTTACGAGCTGGGAATGGTATCACATGCCAGTAATCCTCGAACTTGGGAGCTGAGGCAGGATCATGCAAATTTGAGGCCAGTCTGGGCTACATAGTGAGTTCAAGGCCAGCTAGATGTATTAAGAACCTTAGACGTCTAAACCAAACCAAACCAAACCAAACCAAACCAAACCAACAACAACAACAACAACAACAAAAGAAACAGGGCCAATGAGATAGCTCAGTGGACTAAGTGCCTGCTTAGACAAGTGCAGGGACTGGGGTTCGATTCCTGGTACCACATGCCATGCCGGCCCTGCCCTCAGGGGCACTGAGCTGGCGACCGAGTCTGGGCATGGTGGCACATGCCTATAATCCCAGCACTGGGGAGGCTGAAAGCTGGAGGATCACTACGAGTCTGAGCTGTGTTGTGAGACCCTGTATCAAATACATTTAAAAAAAAAAAAAAAAGAACACTAAGACCTTAACATCTTGCCCTCTACCATTCGCCTAGCACACCCATGACAGGGACTTTTCATGCCCTGAAAATACTAGAAGGTGCTTTCCGTTCACCTGTACATCTGAAGCAGTGAGACAAAGTGGCCCCTGAGTAAAATCAAATCATCTACAAGATACTCTCTGAATTACTGGCATAACGTCATTCTTTCTCGGGACCCACCTCATCCAATTTCACGTGACAGGTAATTATGTGTAAAAGTACATACGTTTTCTGAATTTTGTGAGGTGGGTCAACATCTAAACTGTTTTAGTCTCCTCAGGGCCCGGAAGTCATGGCACTCAAAGGAAGATAGGAATTAACTATTCAGCAAATAGGGTAAGGAGTTCCCTTCCCCTTCTATTTTTCCATAAAAATTAAAAAATGTAAAAATTAGTTTAAAACTGTTCAAGTTTCATTTCAACCCTGACCTAATAGCTCAGAATTACACAGGGCCTTTTGTATGATAAAACCACAGTAAGAGAAAAATCAGACATAATCCACTACGGCAAACTACAAAATGGAATTTGTTTTTTCTCAAAGTAATTGGATTAAACTGTTTCTAAAATTTTGGGTCCTGCTGAAAATAATAAATCATCCTCTTCAGTTTAGCAAAACTGGAAAAAACATAAAACACTAGGAACTATAATTTATAGCCACCCGCTACAGGAAGCTGAGCTGGGGGGATAATGCTCAGTTCAAACAACTGCACGGAAATTAACAGGCTTAACCAACAGGCTCTGGGCCTCGGCGACGCGCTTCTCCTGCGCAGCCGTTCCCGACTTGGCCCACACAATGCTTGGTCTAAACAAGAAAACAGAAGCGCTGCTATCAACTTTATTAACTTCCAGCCAAAACAAGCCCAGCCTCCTCCGCGCTGCTTTGGCGGACTTCAGTTTTCTCCTGCGTGGCCTCTCGTGAACTTGGCCTTACTTAGCAAGCTCCATCCACCGCAGGGTGTCGGGAGGGAGACAGGCCTTGCCACGGACTCGCTTGGCGGGCGGCTCTTCGGGTGCCAGGTGAAGCAGGGCCTCCTCCAGCAGGCGGATGCCCCCGGGCTGCTGCAGGCTGGCCAGGCTGGCAGTTCGGACCAGGGCGGGCGGCAGGCTGAGCAAGGCTGCGTGCTGGCAGCTGATCTCCTGTAAGACCACAAACACATGCAGCTGTTTAGCAGACAGTATTTGGACCATGTCCTCCTGAGTGATTAATTCGTTTTTACCAAACATAAAAGAAAGTCTTGACGTCAGTAGTGATAGCACCAAAGGCTTGTCTGTGTAATTCTATTAAAAATTTCCCTTTAATATTCAATTTGCTCAGGGGAGGAAATGTCTTTTTATTTATTTGTTTTTGGTTTTTTTTGGTACCGGGGATTGAACTTGGGACCCTGCGCTTGCAAGGCAGGCACTTATGCCACTGAGGTATTTCCCCAGCCCCTCCTATTTTTATATTCCTAGAAATATAAAAAATAACCAAAAATAACTTAAAGCTAGAACAATATTATCAAGATATGAGGACCGAAGCTGTGAAGATGCGTGCATACATCATCTCCCTCCGTATCTAACAAGTGCAATTTCCAGGAATCCTGACTGACTTGCTAAAAAGAGCAGATGAAATACAAAGACTTGCTATCCAATCGGTGCATCCGCCTTCCTCTTAGGTGTCCACAACCCCTCTCTTCCATCCAGGGGCTAACTTAACGTCTGAAGAGAGGACTCGGGAATTACTACAGTGGCCTTCACTTCGTGACTCCCTCTAGGAGGACTGGAAACATCACTGAACAGGAACAGCGCGACCCCACTGTCACTGGCACAGCTGCGCGTGGGACTGTGTGCAGACCTGGACGGACGGCCCGGGGACACCCGCACCACCCCTGGCAGCTGTGCCACGCGTGAGCTGTGGCTAGAGGACCCCAAACTGATTCACAGAAGAAAGAAAACTCTCCATATAATCAAACAAAAATGTTCATCACCCTTCCAAAGAGAATATTCAAAACATTGTATTTCAATTAACAGTGTGGGATAGGCTTTTTTTTACTTGAAATGTCAGACTTTTGGACAATGATAATTTGGAGATGGAAACCCAGAAGAAAACGCAAAACATCTTGTATTATTCTTTGCCCAGGACCTTCACACTGAGCTATAGCCTTCTTCAGATTTATTTTTTCATCTTCAGACAAGGTCTCTATATAAGTCACTACGTCTCCCAGGGCCAGGTTTGAAGCTGCAAACTTTCTGCCTCAGCCTCTCAGGCCTGGGGTTGCAGTTCTGCACCACCTTACCTGGCTCAAAACATCTTTATGTAAACGTATTCCTAATTTTTAAGTAATTTTCATTCTGTAATTAGTTACTGAGCATGTTCTAGGCTCCAGATACTGTAGCAAAGCGGTATTATCCAGGGTGGCATGAAACTTAAGATTCCTTCATCCTGTGTGGCCAACAGTAAGTACTCTTTTTAAAAAATACTTTTAATATTTGAGAAAAGAGGGCAACATAAAGATAAAAAGAGCGGGATGCTTGACGTTATTTCGTGAAACTAATGCATCAGTGTCTGGCTCGATGTCTGGCTGCGATTCAGTGAGTTCTCGAGGCGCTCGTCAGAGCGGGTGATACAATCTTCCCCGCATGTGCCTCCCAGCTGTGCACAGGTGTGCGTGGTGCCAGAGCAGGCGACGGAAGGCAGGACTGGGAGGCAAGGACAGCTGTGCCCGGGAAACAGACATGGAAAAGTGCAGCAGCGGCGATCAAGTTGTTCTTTTCTTTTAAAAAAATTATTTTTAATCTTTTTTTTTATTTGGTACAGGATCTGGCTATGCAGCCCTGATTCACAGTGACCCTCTGGTCTCAGTCTCCACAGCGCTGGGTTTACAGGCGTGCACCACCACACGCGTTTTCACTATGCCCGGGCTTCCGAGTCCCGCATGGTATGCAGTACCAGGGATGGAACCCAGGTCCTTGAGCTGGCCAGGCAGGCACTTAGACCACCATGCTATCTCCCCAGCCTCAAATTTTTCCTTGGGTTGAATGACTAACTCTATATCTATATGAAAATTTGTAGGTAATACACTACCTGTTCATAAATTCTCGTATCAAGATGGAAAGCAAGAATGTGTATTTTCACTGTTCATCCGACTGTGCAACAAATGTAGCCAAATACATAAAATTATTTGGCCTATCTTGATCTTGTCATAATTTAAGTTTCATTTTGAAAGTTGTTATGGTTTGAAACATATCACAGGTTGAGTTGCTTTTCATCTTTATTATTATTATTTTTTCTGTGTTTTAGGAAAGGTCTACAGGGTGTTCAGGGTCTCACTACTAGATTGGACTCATAGTGATTCTCTGTTTGCAGCTGTAATCCCAAGTGCTGGGATTACAGGCGTGCGCCACCACGCCTAGTCTTAATCACCGTCTCAGCATGCCTCAGGATCAGCGCAAGCACAGCAGGCTGGAAGAGTGAACTCCCAGCTCCTGCACCTACTTGCAGACACTTTAATCCACTGAGCTATTTGGCAGGCCCTAAAAGTTGAGAAGTTGTTTTTTTTGCGGGCTCAGGCTGCCTTAATGGTGGGTGTGGTGTGGTATGTGGAGCTGGGGATTGAACCGCTGTCCCACCAGCCTGACTGGGTTTGCCCAGGCAGGCACTTAAACAACTGAGCTAACTGGCAAGCCCCCTGATTTTCATCTTGAAGACACATGTTTAATTAATTTTTTTTTGTTTAATTAATTTAAATTGGTTAAACTCAACAAAAATGCTAAACCCAACGCATTTTTCATCTTTAAGTTCTGGCACAATTTTTGCTTTTGATTCCATAATTATTTTGATTTCACTTCATAAAAACAAATATTTTCAGCATTTTACCTTTAAACACTTAAGAAAAGTAAGCGGTAGTATGTGTACCTTTTCTGGAGGGTATGGCACATGGGGTTTGAAGCCAGGGCCTTTGTGCTGAGCTACGTCCTGGATCTTTTTCTTTTGAGACACTGTCTTGATGTCACTAACCTGCACAGGCTGCAATTCTCCTGCTTCAGCCTCCCGGAGCGCTTGGCTTGTAGGTGTGCACCACACCTGTTAGCATCTACACTTCTGTGGAACTCCGAGAATTAGTAACAATTCAATCCCTTGCATCTAGTGAAATTCACAGTTGAGATGACAATTTACATGATATTACAGCTTCCATGTAATATTGTTTTATGTATGATGCAGTAGTATTTTATCAAATGCGAGTTAACAGCAACAAATGCATTGTCTTCTGTTACTTCTGAAAGTCCAACCCCCGCTGGGGCACCAGGAGCTGTCAGACGCGCTGAGCAAGGCTCAAGAAAATCACTTTAACATACTTTTTACTGTTTCATGCAAATCGAGAGACACTGCTTTTTCTTTTTAATGTATTTAATACAGCGTCTACAGGGTCTCACTACACAGATCGCACTCATAGTGATCCTCCTGTTTTCAGCCTCCCAAGCGCTGGGATTACAGGCACGTGCCACCATGCCCAGTCTCAAGGTTGTGTTTTTCTTTTTTTTTTTTGCTCCGAATGCCTTCAGGGCAGGTTTGGCTAGCTTGAGTTGTGAGGATCGAACCAGAGCAACCTGAGCCTGACTGCTTTGCTGAAGCAGCCACTTAAAGAGCTGAGCTACGGGGCAGGCCCAAGGTTGTGTTCTTCAATGGCACAAAGAAACCATTTCTTCTTCCCCACCCCCACGGTACTAGGGATGGAACTCACAACTCTGCACTTGTTACCGATACTTCTAACAAAAATGGTGAGTTGAACAATAAACATTAACTACTGCTAAAGCATAAAATTTGAAGCTAGTAGCTTTACTTTCCAAATCATTTTGAATAGATTCTCCTGTTTCTTCAACCTGGCTGGGATACAGTCTGGTGAGATCAACTCATTTTAGAAGAACGCCATTATTTTATCAGCACAAACGTCAGCTGTGAGGGCACATGCGCCTACTCTGGCCAAGGGACCGCCTGCTTAGCCACGCTGCTAGCACTCTACACCACTTCTGGGCTGCTCAGGGACCGAGGCTAACATGCTGCTGGCTAACATCCCTGCTGCACGCATCTGTGGACTGCTTATTACACATGGAGAAGGCACGTTCTGGGAGGAAAGAGATTGTGTGTCTTCACAGTTGTGGCCCGACCATTTAGACTGACACCTTAAGACAGACTTTGGGGAAGCTACACATGGATAAGTAAGGAAACAAAATGCAGGGTTTAATCAAAACACTGAAGGCTCTGACTTTGGATTCTTCTGTTGTATATAAATTGGGGTTTGGTTTTTTTTTTAAAAAGTCCAATAAATTCCACGTGCCCGCTGGAGAAGAGGCAGGAACCCACACAGTATGCCCACTCTGTTACACACCTGGCATCTGTCAAGAGTTTCAGCTCAGAAAACAAAGCCATGACACTCACCACATAATGCCAGAAGCAGAGTGTGTTTCGGAGAACAAGCAGAAATGCTTACCTGGATGCAAGACACAAACGGCGGGAAGAACAAAAAAGTGGTGTTAAGAAAATGACTGAAGTCTTCGAGCAACTTTTGAGTGATGTTTTTTTCAGATGCCATCTTAAATCTATCCATCTCTTTGAGTATCCCAGAAAACAGGCTGCTAAAGAGCTGCTTCGCAATTAATGAGTCTCTCTGCAAAATATTCAAAACAAAGACAAATTCGGATCTGAAATAAAAAGGCTGTAACTCATCATTTCGATCAGAGCTTTACTTGAAAATACAAACTACTGCAAACACATCTAAATTCTGCTTGGAGAGTTTTAGAGGGCATCTCGCAAGGGGAGTATTTGGAATTTAACCACATGTTCTAGCTTGGCACACAGTACGAAAGTACAGACCTTCAACAGAAAGAAACTCCAAGGCTGGCCTACTCAGTGCAGGGACACAGCTCATCGGTGAGCTCAATCTGTTATCCCAATTCCCCACCTTTAAACTGGGATCAACAGGACAAGCTTCAGAGCTGAGGTAGCCATAATGATGCACCGCAGGCGTTTGGGGTACTGCTTGAGGAACTTAGACTCAACTGGACTCTTAGGTATTAGCCCTGGACAGGAATCATGATAAAATTTAAAATAATTAAGTGATGCACTTAAATAAAATCCCAAAGTGAAGGGGTTTTTTGTTGTTGTTTTTGCGGTACTGAGGACTGAACTCAACGCTGCACTTGCCAGGCAAGCACTTATTCCACTGAGCCATCTCCCTGGCCCCCCAGAGTGAAGTTTTTTTTGTTGTTGTTTTGTGTTTTTTTTTTGCGGAACCGGGGATTGAACTCAGACCCTTGAGCTTGCCAGGGAATCGCTTATTCTACTGAGCCATCTCCCCGGCCCTGAGAGTGAAGTTTTGAAGTCCCATCATAACCATTTAACTGTAAAAAACCTATTAAGTTCTAGGCTTCAGTTCTATCTAATAGCATGTCGCCTGCTTATGGCTTTAGCACCCATACATCTCGTGACCACAAGGACACCAGCCTTTGTGTTTACAGCATTGGCACCAACAAATCTGATTGATCTTTTATTATTTATTAATTTAAATGGGCCAGGGCGATGGCTCAGTGGAATATGCGCTTCCCTGACAAGCGCAAGGGCCTGAGTTCAATCCCCGGTTCCACACACACACACACACACACACACACACACACACACAAAAGCAACTAATTTAAGTAATATATTTGTCTTGCGATAGTTGTGATATTGCTACTACAGTAGACAAATTTTACAAAACATGGTCTAGTGACATGGTGAGACCCTGTCTCAAAATTTGAAAGAGGGCACAGATGTTCTTCACTCTAAAGGCCTTGAGTGCAATCCCCAACACTGCAGAACCAAACCAATCAACAAACAAACATACAAGATCCTAAGAAACCAAATAAATAAAATTAAACATCATCCGTAAGCCACACAAAGATAACCACGGCCACCATTTGGTTGTTCTTTCACTGATCTGCATGATCTTTTATTTGGTAACAGTTGTCTGAAGTATTTATTTTAATTTTTGGTGGTACTGCGGATTGAACTCAGGGCCTTATGCATACAAGGCAAAACCAGTACTGCTTGTCTGATAATCTGGTCTTTTCATTTAACACGTGGCCAGGTGGTTTCCACGTGTACAGCCAGTGCCCAAATGCCATACGTAGATTACTTCCATTCTCAGGGAATTCTGAGAGCTCACTCTGGCCAGACAATTGCAGTAGTGATTAAGCATCATCCTCATGTAATCCCAGCACTCAGGAGGCCGAGGCAGGAGGATCAGCGCAAGTCTGAGGCTGGCCTGGGCAACAAAGTAAGCTCAAAGCCGGCCTGAACTGCACAGTGAGACCCTGTTTCAAAAAACCAAAAGTAAGTATCACTCTCAACAGCAGGCAGTTGCCGCTGGCCACACCCTACAGTGGCTCGCCTACATGTTACGTGACACCCTTCACCTCACATAGGCAAGGCTTGCAATGACAGGCAGCTGTAGAAAACAAGAGGACCTCGACTGGATCTTCCGCACGACAGCAGCCACTGGCGTACAGAGGCGCCCCACGATGAATATATGTTAAATAAGTAACCAGAATTAGAAATACGAGGTGAAGTCTCTTCGTAAAGAACAGAAGGAATGAGTAGTCTTGCTTTTTCAACAACACGCACCATCTACTTTTTCCAGGCACTAATGAGATGAACTGACTGCAGGAGGCCCCGGGGCAGCCACGGAGCTGCCAGATCGCCCCCGTCATACAGCCAGCCTCCCCAGGGTGGACAGGCTCGCTGACAGCAAGGGGCGACACCACCAGGCGGCAGCCACGTGAGCCACCAGGGAGCTAGTGCACAGCGGAGAGACGGCTCTGGCCGGGTATGTGGCCACACCTGTGACCCAGCTACTCGGGATGCTAAGGCAGAAGGATTGCAAATTTGAGACCCTGTCACAACAGATTTTTTAAAAGGGCCAGGGGTGACCAGCTGAGTGCTTGCCCAGCACGTGCAAGGCCCTGGGTTTAATCCCCAGTACCATAAAACCTAAACAGAAACAACAAGGACACAGAGACCGCGAGCTCCACACCCAGTGAGAACTTTGGATTTTGCCACGTTGTCCAATTTTTTATAATCTTTAACCTTCGTTTAGACTGCATTTAATCACTGCTTTAATCCTGCAAGATTTAGGGAGGATCTACATGAGACTGAGAAGGTACTTCGTGACAAAAAAGGTACATAAGGGTGAGTTACAAGAATCTACACGAGGGCTGGGGAGATGGCTCAGTGGAATAAGCGCTTCCCTGGCAGTACAAGGGCCTGAGTTCAATCCCTGGTTCTGCAAAACAACAACAACAACAACAACAACAACAAAAGAATCTACACGAGACGAGGTACACACATCCCCACGGCCTGCAGAGGAAGTGGCAGCAATGAATGGGGGCGGTATGGAAGTGCTGCTGCTGCACTAGGATCGGAGCCAAGGCTTCCTCCTGTGCTGCAGGAGTGTAAGACGCCACCAGCGGGGTAAGCTGACGACGGTTCCTGTACTGTGCGCTATTTTTACAAATTCTTGTCTTTTTTTTTTTTTTTGGTAGAACCGGGGATTGAACTCAGGCCCTTGCACTTGCCAGGGAAGCACTTATTCCACTAAGCCATCTCCCCAGCCCAGCTTGTCAATTTCTAATGACAGAAAATAAAAAGCTTAATCATAATAAAATGCAAGCAGATGTAATCTATGATTGTAGTCAATATTAGAAATGGAAACAAGTACAATGCAAGGGATTATATTAGTGCATAGTATAATGAGATTATATATTTATATAACTTGTTTTCAAAAATTACTTCAGTAAAAGTTAAGGCCTCTGAGGGCAAGAACTCAGCTAGAAAACGGCATTCTCTCCTAAGGCTCTATTCTCTCCAGTCCTCTATTAATAAGTAAATCACAAAAAACACTGACCTCATTGATAAACTGTTACTTCCCTGATACTCTCAAAGCATTTTATACAATGACTTGAGTGTCTTATTAACATGTAAAATTTATAAATTTTTCCTTACATGAGTCAAGAACTACAAAATGGCCGAGACAGATTTAGAAGTCTTTAAAACAAATCTGCTGTGTAGGCCCTTATTTATGATAGTGTAGCCTCCACCATTTCTCTGTATGAATAGTAGACCACTAGAGCTACAACCACAGCTTTTAATCTCTAAAAAGAAAGCCCAGCCCTTGGAGCGGACCTGCGCCACGGCCTGCAGGGGGGCAATGAGGCTGCTGCACTTGATCTGGATGTCTGGGAGGTCTCCGTGCCGGTAACTTCTATACAAAACGATCTGCGCGTCTTGCTTCATTTTCAACTCACTCTTCATCTCCTACAATCATCAGAACCAACAATGAAGCATTAGAATTCTTCTTTAGGAAAATCAGATTGCTTAAGATGCAAAACGGGCAGAATCTACCTTTCACATAGAGGGGAAGTGATAGTAATTTTCATTCTTGGGGTAGTCACTGTATCTTGTACATCTACAGTAAATGATAAATTCACATAAAATGATGGTAGATGAGCATCATTTTATTTTATTTTTATTTTTGTACTTAGTACAGGGTCTACAGGGTCTCACTACACTGACTGGACTTGCAGTGATCCTCTTGTTTTCAGCCTCCCAAGTGCTAGGATTACAGGAGTGTGCCACCACACCCAGCATCAATTGCTGTCTCTGTGTGCCCTGGGCGGGGCCAGCATGGCATGTGGAGCTGGGGATTGAACCCTGGTCCCTGCGTCTGTCTATCTGGCTGGCCCTGAGCATCATTTTAAAATATCCATTACAAAGGAATATGAATTTTCACAAAGTAAGAAAATTTGATTTGAAACTTTCTGAGAACGAATCAGAGGGCTGTAGTTCCTTTTTAATTCCCCTACGAGTAAGCCCAGAGTGGTGGCCTGCGGTCTCCACAGATGCCCAGCAGGCAGAACAGGGCACCCGCCAGCCCCGGTCTAGAACATGTGTCTTCAGCTTGTCCCTCATCATTTGGCTCCCATCTCTGGTTTCTCGCTCCAGACCGGTTTTCCACCACTCATCACTAGGTTTATTTCTGAGTCCACGTAGTATCTGTCAGCTCATCTCTTTGGCTGTCACACACACTGGGCCGGGCTCTGCGAGGGCTTTTATGCCACTACGGTCACAATGTTAGCAGCCAGCACGGCACCTGGCATTGAGTGCAGCGCTCCAGGTGAATGTGTCCAACGAGCCACAAGTACAGACACGGCTTCTGCTGTCCGACTGTACCGTTCCTAAGTACTGGTCGGTAGCTTCACACCCGAAGGCCCGTGTCAGCGAATGTGCACAGCAGGCCACTCGGCACGTGTCCACTGTTACGAAGCTCTTCTGCACGCCAGGCCAAAACGTCTTCCTGTGACTTCTGCTCAGAAATCCTACATTCTGTTTCTTCTGCTGACCGAGTATTGCTACTTCCTTTAGGCCATGCTTGTTGCGTTTTAGGTTTAATCAGAATCCCAGACCTACTTCAACAGTGTAGGGATGGTCCTGACTTTCCTTGTTTAGGATTCCAGTCTTTAAAAGAGTAGTTAGAATTACAGAGACAAGAGCAAGCTGCAAGTATACTTTCTCTCTAAAGAAAAAGATTTAGACCAACTATTCCATCATTTTATATTCAGATTTGGAAGTTTGTTCTGGGAAACTGTCATAGTTTTTAGTTTATAAGCAAGATTGAAGTTGTAGCAAAAAAACCCTTTATTTTTACATTTTGAGAAATGTATGTACAACTGTTAATTCACGCCACACTCATGTCTCCAATGGCAGCCTTCAGCTGCTGCCTCTCCAGCCTGGGTGTCCTTCCCGGGGCTGTCCTCCCCTCACTGTCCCACGGCCTCACCCTTCCCAACGGCTGTGGCCACACACCAGCGAGTCGTGACTTCCTCCCCAGGGCTCTGGCCTTTAGGAGGACGGCCAACTGCTTCCCATCTGCGGAATGCGACTCGTATCTCCACGGAGAAGAGGGAGAGGCTGCGCGCAGCGGAGCGGAGAGGCAGAGCCGGGCCCTGGCCACCTGCGAGCTGGGCAGCCCGCAGACCCGGGAGGGCAGTCTCCAGGCAGCGCCGAGCACCATTCGCACGAGGGCAGTCAGAGCGTACTCCGATTCATGCCTGAACTTAATTCACACGGTGCGCCTCTGCCATCATGGCGTGTGCACCAATACTGGAACTAGTACTGTATCTCTCTTCTGATACGTGTATTTCTAATCAAACAAATTTGCGAAAAAGACACAAACCTTCTCTCGCTTTTGTTCAGCAATGCCTTTTTTGGCATAAATCAAACTGACTTTTTCTTGGTCCTTTAAAAATCGCCTGCGCAGCCTTAGTATTTCTGCCCGGTGGTCTGTACCTGAAGGACAAGAACCAGCTTTGGTTACTGATGGCTCAATCCCACACGGCAAGCCACCCACTCCTCCTGGAGTCCCCGAAGAGAGAGTGCGTGCTCAGCTCGCCTCTGCAATGCTTGTGCGGCGTTTTCTTAAAGACACTTACAGGGAAGAGCAGAGAGACAGCGGGGCAGCTCTGGAAGGAGAGGAGCAGCAGAGCTGTAACTGCGTCCTGCAACTGCGTCC